CCAACAATCAAATTATATATAACAACAAACTAACCATAGAAAATGTTTGGCCTCATGAACAACCGTATTTGGTGGACAATCTCTTCGAATTTTAGTGGTCGAGTTTGGCTGTATTTATGGCTTTGCATGTGGGTGGTCTTTGGAAGACAACTTCTGGTCGAATTTGACTACATTTTTGGCTTTGAATGTGGTCGATTATCGCTGGTCGAGTTCACCATAGGTCTGTCCACCGTAACGTCGTCCACGAAAGAGCATTTTAATGAACAATAATCTTGTACACGAGAAACTGTGCAATTTATATTATCCACGTCTACTAATAAATATATTTCCTACTTTTTTACTTATTTCTTATCGAACCAATATGGACCACACATTCAAAAAATATATATATATCCAAATAGAAGCATCCAACGGTCAGTAGTAACTGATCATTAAAGGTATTTTGGTCCAAAATACACACAATAACCCAACAAAGTGCCTCTTGGTCAAAAAATGTCTCTCTTGAAATAAAAGTCCAATAAAATGTCTCTGGATGTAATCAACCCAAAAAAAAGTAGGACTGTCATGACTTAAAATCCAATTAAATCACCAAACCGTTATTCACCGAATTTTTTCCAGCCGATTTCGGCCTTACTCCTTTTCTTTTCATTCCTTTGTAGATTTAGGTTTATTTGTAGAATTGGGATCTGAAATTAAGTTTTCTAGGCCTTTCTTTCGATTCATCTTCAAATCATTAGATGATGTTTATCGGCTTCAATGAATTTCATTGTGCCCATCTATAAATTGCAGATCTAATCAGTAAAATCGGGTTCTGGTGGAGGTTGGGAATTGGTTTTAATCAAGCTTTTCCTATGTGGTTGTCTTTTAATTTGTGTCCTCTCCTCTTTGTGATTTATGAAGCCTTGGTTTGGGTCTGGGAGTTGTTCGTCGATTCTTACTCACGCTATGCAATTTTAACAGTACTATTTCTTATTTTTTATTTTTTAAAGGATTAGGTTTATCTAAATAATACAAACTGTCGGTGATTAACTACCGATTTATTTCGCCGATGCCATGGGTGATGAGCTTCGCCCTTCGGTTCGATGTCATGATCTCTTTGGTGTCCATATGGGTAACCGATTTGTCTCTCGAGGATGGAGTCCTCTTCCGGTAATGTTTCTCCTAACAATCATTTTGTCTGTTTTCTGAATCAAATTTAGAAAAAAAAACTCAGATTTTGTGTCAATGTTTTTAACTTGTATTATTTTCTTTTGAAACGTTTTCATTGTCTTACCTTTCAATAAAAAATAATTACATTAATTTTTTATTGTTTTAGTGAAATCGTATCTTAAAAAAAGTTAGACGATAAGTATGAATTTCTTTCCATAATTTTTTTTTTTGACTTTTGTCATTAAAACAATAAAAAAATAATGTAATTATTTTTTATCGAAAGGTAAGACAATGAAAACGTTTCAAAAAAAAAAAAAATAGAATTAAAAACATTGACACAAAATCTGAGTTTTTCTTTTTTAAATTTGATCCGAAAAGTAGGCAAATGATTGTTAGGAGAAACATTACCGAAAGAGGACTCCATTCTTGAGAGACAATCAGTTACACATATAGACACCAAAAAGATCATCATCCATGGCATCGGCGAAACAAATCAGTAGTTAATCACCGACCATTTGTATAAGCAGTATTGCTATGGTTTTCTACGATTGCTATTATTAATAGATATACATGAGTATCGTATATAGAACCATTTAAATCTATTACAAAATAAGCCAAGATCAATAATTTAACAAAATAAGATAAACTATGTTTAATGCGGGGAAGTCTTACTCGCCAAAAGTCACTACGACTTTTATATCTGGTTATGGATTTTGATTT